TGAACTATGATCTGTTTTTACTATAATTTAATTTGACAAACCGGGTCTTCTCTACATTCTTTTTCCTGTTTGGTGCGATTGCAATTGCTGGTCTTAATCTGGACTGACGGGAGCGGAGCAAAAAAAGAGCTCCGTTCCGTATGTTTTTATGGTGAGGGACGGAAAAGACGTACGTGGACAGAGACTGATTGATTGACATGACAGACAAGTACTCCGCACGACGTACGTGAGCGGAGCGGTGCGCTGATGGAGTATATGGAATCTGTGGGTAAAGGAGGACATATACACGTCGGACAGTGCAATGAAAATCCGGACTGGCCACCCTATTATTGAACCGCATTAATGTTAGCGCGTTATTATTAGCCGCAGCTAGCAATGTACCTAGCTGCGGCTAACAATAACGTGCTAACATTAATGCGGGCTACCGGCTACGATAGCATCAGTAATAGGTAAGTTTGAAAAGAAACACACTTACCTGTCGAAATTCAGTGTAAAGGCCAGGGTGTCGGTCCTTCAGATGTTTCGCCAAGTTTGTCGTACTGCTGGACTTGGTCGCCACCGACTTGAAACAGTGTTTGCAGACTGGCCTATCAACATCTTTCGGTTTCCCTTCCGTGTCAGGCTCGAAGGCAAAATACCTCCAAACAGCACTCTTGCCTTTATCATTGTCGACCAAAACTGGTTGTTTTGGCCCTCCTGCAGCAGCACTGGCCATGCTCTCTTCTGTTATTGTGCCCTCACATACACACTGCAGCATGTAGCTTCTCGCTTCAGTCTGTAACTCCGCCCACATCAAAGTCGGCCATTTTGATTACGTCACCGATAGGAAGGTCCGACAGCATACGGCCGCGCGCGGCGGTGGTGGTAGTATCGATACTTTTAAAAATGAGTATCGTATCCGGATACAACGTTTTAGTATCGATACTTTTTGGAGTATCGATACTTTTGACAACCCTAGTGATGTCATAGGGGCGCCCCGCCCCCTCTGCAACCACCTCATTTATTGTGATTGCAGCTGGGCAGTGTGGCCACAAGGGGGCGGTATAGAATTAGCTGTCCTATTGAGAGAGAAAAGGTCAACATGCAGTAAACTGTTATTACTCTGTGTCCTGTTGGAGAATTTGGCTGTTTTCATGCTCTTTTCTCCTCTTTAGTCCTTTTTCCTGATCATACTTTGGCCACTGTTCGCCACGCTGCCCCTTAGTTTACTGGCAGTACTGCATCATTCATTGTCCCTGGTTGCCAGTCTGGAACCTCCAATATGGCAGATTAATGTGGGCACAAATAAAAGGCTATAACTGGCTCTAGCCCCCACCTGTACGGTCGTTTTGGGTTAATGAGTCGTTTAAATAAACCAATCACTCATGTGAACAAACTGAAATGGACTCGCAAAAGATCAATTTTAGTGATCTACAAATGGAACAATAGATGGTTTTTNCTTCATGCAGAACTGAGATCAAGATTAGTTGAGATTCGCTCCTGGAAGTTGTTGTGACTGGATTTGATTAAACTTTTAAGCACCTCGGTATAAAAAAAATATTTTGACCGAGATGAGAAATCTGCTTCCTGGAATGTTTTAAGTATCGATAATCGACATCCAATAAATTAATTAAGTGGTTTTAGTTTTTGGGAATATATAGGAATTCTGCTCTAATCTGTTGTTCGTGATCCATCGTTATCATATTTTAGTTTGACAAACCGGATCTTCTCAACGTTCCTTTTCCTGTTTGGTGGGAATGCAAATGTGGATTTTGACCTGGCTGGACAGGAGCGGACGGGCAAGGACAGAGAAGACGTAGGTGGACGGTGACGTGCGGAGGAGTAGCGGTGGATGTGGAACAGTTCTCATGGATTAATATGATGCACAAGGTATGTGAGCGCTGTGGAGCGGAGGGGTGACGGATGCTGTGGAGGATGAGTACTTTCCTGTGATTGGCTTATTAAAGGGAGCTTTGTGATTGGTGGCACATCATCCCTTAAAAATACAGCTTAAAAATATAAATTTGTGTATCGGGGCACATTAAATCCACACACTAATGCAGTAAAGTTTATAGACTAAAGGTACTTTGTTATTGATATTTGTTTATGGACCAGAAATCCTGGTGTGTGTGTGTGTGTGTGTGTGTGTGTGTGTGTATATTTCACATGTGTATTTGTGCAAACACAGACCAATCTAACTCCATATTTCTGAGCTTCCAGCCTTTCCCGATGTGTTTCTATCAAATCTAAATGTATATATTAGTTAACAGAAACATTTTTTTCTTTTGCCGGTCTTTTTTTTTTTCAGCTGCAGTATCCTGTGTACTGGGACCTCATGGAGTTCTGTGATGGCTTCCGGAAGCTTCTGGATCACCTCCAACTGGACAAGGTCCGACTTTCCTTTTGTAGTTCCATTTCTGCTCCTATATGTACGTAAATAAGTCCTTCATTTTTTCTTATCGTGATGTGATGTCTAGGGTTGTCACGATACTAAAATTTT